TGCAACAGCAAGACCACATTTCGTGCATGCATCAAAGTCACAACTCATACACCAATAGCTAAAACCCTTCACCAGTCCTCGACTATCGCACACATAACAATTCCAACCCTCAGACGTACGAGTAGTGCGTATAAGGGGATGCAAGGGATGAAAATGGTGAAAGATAGCAGTTGCATGTAAACCATCAATATTACCCCAATCAAAAAGGGACCATCTGGAAATCTCAACTTTTCAGACCCATAGCAATTGAACATCCAAGTTTGTTGTTGCAAACACTAAACCACAGCCATCCAACTTTGAAGAAGACTCCAACAAGATTTATTGCACATAATTTACATTGTTCCATCTTTATAGACCCAACAAGTGCCACATGACAAGTTGCAATTATCGTAAAGTTAAAACATACGTAACAAATTACACCTTTGAACAAACATGAGTAGTCATTCCATGTACTTTACAATCATGCCGCATAGATACGAAAAACGAGACTTATTTGATATTTTAAAAACAAGAAAAACATATTCTAAAAGGACATGTTTCGATCAGACACTCAAGCATCAAACGACCATTATTATCAAGATTACAAAAAAGACACACATACTCACATGTTGTCTTTCTTCGAACATACATTAATGGATGTTTGTGATGAGAAGACTTGATTATAGTCTTCTCCACCCCGACATTTGCATAATAATCAATTCGATTAATGCAATGTAGGTGAAATGAATTCTTGCATTTGTGACAATGATAGAGTGGGAACTTGGGGTGCATTTCCTTCTCGCATATATCACAATAGAAATCTTCGGGATGATCTTCGACCGGGGGATACATCAATGGGATTTCATGTCCTTTGCAATACCTATGAGTAAGTGACTGAGGAGACCGTATTGCACAATACATGTCTAGTTGGAAATTACAAGCTTTGCAAGCAAAACTTATACCCCTATATATTCTGTTACATGCCTTACAACGTTGCTTGGGATCCATGACTTGGGTAAGAGGATGTTTGTGAGATTTATGTATGATGGTGTTGGGTAAAAATCCACAATTCACATCCAAGTAGAACTTGCAAGTTATACATTTGTAGACAAAATTGTTGCATTGGCTAAAACAACCATTGCATCTATAAAAGTACTCATCTTCACTGGTGTCTACCAAATCAAGTGGATGATCTGGGTGAAGATGATGTTCTAATGTGAGCGGTAATTCGGCACAATATTTGTGGAGGGTAAATGAACATCCATCTTTGCAAATATAATATGGAAGGGAGAGGGGTCGTACACATCCATTACATGCCTCTATTGGATCATCACAACCAATGTCGGGCATGTTGTTACCTTGAGGTTCAACGCTAAGGTTCAATGGATGACCATGACTCCAATGGCTAATTTCTATTGCACCATCATCATCTAAAGATACCTTCTCCGAATGAAGAAACTTTAGTGGATCTGTGAATGCATGTGACAAGGGAAATTGCATAAAATCATTTGTGCGTCCTTCAGCAGTATAAGTATCTGGAGCATTGCTGAAATGATATATTCAATTTAGAAGAAGCATTCACATAAAAGTAAAAACAAAAATCAGAAAAGAAAAAGTTTGACCTTGGAATGGAAGGTTGATCTGCGTTTAAGGCACATTTAATGTGGGCAAAGTATCTACAGTTTGCACAATGATACAACCAACCGTTTTTTAGGATGAGTTTGTTGCAGAACTCGCAGTAATACCTAAAATTATAAAAATTATCCGGGAGCGAATAGACGAGAACGAGAGGATGATTAGGATGGTGGGGTAGATCAATGGTGGGGGCTAAGGAAGCACAAGTCTTGTGCATCCAAAAATCACAACTACTACATTGATAGAATAAGTCTTCATCCTTATCGGAATGAAGCAGATCTTGATTGAAGGGTTAAAGTGTGTTGCGGGTGACCTTCATGTTTAAACTCGATCAATGCTTCCTCCACGAGTGCAACAGCAAGACCACATTTCGTGCATGCATCAAAGTCACAACTCATACACCAATAGCTAAAACCCTTCACCAGTCCTCGACTATCGCACACATTACAATTCCAACCCTCAGACGTACGAGTAACGAGTATAAGGGGATGCAAGGGATGGAAATGGTGAAAGATAGCAGTTGCAAGGTTTGCGCATTTCTCATGCAAAAAATGAGAACACGAGGTGCAACCATATGCAAAGCCACCTAATATAGGTTCTCTACATCCATAACAACAAACGGTTTCTTTCTTTTCATCATCACCACCTACAACCATCTCCAAACTACCAATTAGCTTCAATGGATGTTCTTTGTGGCTAAAGTGCTTAATCTCGCTCATTCTCTCTGCCATATGGTATGAATGAAAGTTGAAGTTTAATGGCAAATAACATCTATGTATCTCTCACCTTTATAAAGATGAGAGAGGGTCATTTGTGTCATGTTTACCACCCAAATAATTAATAAAAAAACAAAGATATGTCTATTGATGGTGCGGTGTCCTATATGCTCAAAAGAAGTTGACCAACTTAATGTGTTACACATTGGTGGCGTTTTTGCCACATAATCTACTTATGTTGTCAGATATTTTACTTTTTTCTTCAAGATTATAAGAAATGGGAATAACAAGAGATAGGATCGGACGATATGGTATGAGTCAGCTTATACTTTTCTTTTCTATTAGCCTAAGCGTCTTTGCTAACGGTTCCTTTCTTCTGAGGTTGATTCTCCAAATCAAATGACAAGGAGCCAAAAGAATATATATATATATAGGGTATATTTCTTTTACAACCTTGTGCATTTGTACAACCTTTGCAACCCAATTAATTGAGATATTTATAGAAATGATTGGAGTTCATTTATTATGATTTGAATATTTATGGAATATGAATAGAGTTTATTAATTATGATTAATACTTTATATTAGGAAACAATTAATTGATTAAAAATTGAATGGTTGAGATGAGGGTTGTATAGGGTGTAGGAATGGCAAAGAGTGTAGAATAACATCCCTATATATATATATATATATATATATATATACTCCCTTTTATGAAGCAATATATCACAAATTATTTATCTTACCTTTTTTTATATATATAATGGCTTTCTATAACCCTTCTTTTTATTACTCATTTATTAAAATAGTATATGTTAAGAAATTAAATATCGTCTTCTTTTGTTTCAGAAAAAAAATTGTCTGAAATTTTTTTGAATTTCTTTTCTTTCAAATCCGTATTTATCAATTTATTCATTAGTAATCAGAGACCGCATGTCGTCCTCAAGTTGCTACCGATTTTGTCTTAATAATAAATATGTTAGATATCTGATTATTATACAAATGAGTAGATTTTTTAAACAATTAACGGTATGAGACATAAGTGTATTTAAAGAAACTTTAACTTGAATGTCTTACTGACATTTTTTTTTATTAACCTGGCTATCCAATCCGCTATGCGAGCCGACTAATCTCAGGGCGACCACCTGCTTTGCAGATAGCCCGGAGTCACCGTATTTGAACCTCCGTGGCCACAAGGGGATTTTTATTTCTCCTTGGATTTAAACCTGAGACTTCCTGATACTTTTGACTTTTGGAGTCAAACTCGAACCAATCAGATACCACCCTTATGGTTGTCTTACTGACATTTTAAGTTAAAAGATAATAGTTCTCTTGTGAGGTATGTTTTGATTCCAAGTTATCTTTGTTTTTGAGAATATTCTTTTCTCAAATTTGAAGTTAACATTGGAATATTTCTTTCTTTATAATACAAAAGAATCAAGATTCTTCCATACTTTGTTTTATTTGATCTGGGCCCACAGTATTTTATAACAATATTTTCATATATTAATTAGAATTTAAAAAATTAATTAAAATAGTCATTTTCACGGTGGGTTTCATCTCTTAGTCATTTCTTTCTTAAAATTACAAAAATAGTCATAGGTCCGTAATTGACAGGTCCGCAATTTATAGAAGGGTTAAAGTGGAAAAGAAAAATGAAGTTTCTGAACCTGATCCGCAATTACAGGGACCAAATATGTAAATTAGTTAATAGGTCCGCAAAAGTATATTTGCAATTGCAGATGTGTTTTTCCAAGTTTACATATTTGATCCCTACAATTACGTATCGGGTTCGAAATCTCATTTTTTTTTGCACTTTCACTCCTCCGCAAATGACGGATCTGTCAATTGCGAACATATGTCTATTTTCATAATTTCGGAAAAGAAATGACTAAGATGTGAATGATCAAAATGGTTATTTTAATTAATTTCCCTAAAATTTATTACTAATTAAATTATATAAATAAAATTTTAAAAATTATATGCTTCCTATTTCCCATTTCTTTATAAAACCCAAAAACATAATTATCTGATATTAATGTTTATTTCCCTCCTCCTGTTTCCTAACCGCATAATATTAATATTTTTTTTGGGAAATACTTTCCAAATTGCTAGTTTTTGGAAATTTCTTTCCTACAGTTTTATAAGGATAAAAACTGGTTTGTAATAAAAAGTCGATCGATAAATAGTTCAAACCTGTATGGAAAACGACTTTTGGGGAGCTTCAACAATCTGAAGACTTTGTATTTTGACTGTTATCATCATCATGGCTGCCAAAGACCTTCTAAAATTTTCAAATAAAATATTGTGACAAGATAGTATCTCTATCTGTAGTTGACAACAGTGAACTTGAACTTCCATTTTTAGAAACTTTGCATCTACGGGAACTAACGAGAATCGTCCTATCATGTCTGTATCATCAACTCTCAAAATCTGTGCATTCCCCAAATTGAAGAAAATTGAGGAAAATCTATGAATTTGCCAAAGAGTTGAAGACTTATGGATCTCAGGTGCAACTAGTTCGAAGAGATTGTTTAGCGGAAACCAATAGAATCGTGATTTCATCAATTGTAAAGCTCTTAGTTTCCCGGTGCTTGAAAATGTTATATGTTCATGTTTGTCGCTGAAGAACATTAAGATCATCAAGATCGGGTGTTGGGAGAAATTGCACACCACTACTCAGTTGGGTACAAATTGCCATGTTTAAACACGTTGCATCTAGAGGTTCTTTCATAGACAAACCTCAAATGAATCATATCTTAAATGTAGTTATATTAGCATGAAATATTCAACAATGGCTCGAAGAATCGGATTTGAACTTAAGCATTCATCAATGGCGGCAGTGGATTGATATGCATCTAGGGCATGGGCGGACCTGATGTGGTGGCATGGGTGGCACGTGCCACCGTATTATTTCGCCGCTGAAGGGTAAAAAATTTAGGTTTGTTAATGGTGCTACCGTATCGTTTTAGAAGCTGCTACCGTATTTCCCTGAAAGCCAAATGGTGCAACTAAAGCCCAAACAAAACAAAGCCCAAATAACCAAAACCATACTTTTTGTAATTATTTTTTGGTATATATTGATCGTTTTCAAAAGATGAAGACACATAGGATACAAGTTTAGGAGTTGTTTATCAGTACTTAGGGCTGTAAACGAACCGAACGAACACGAACGGAGGCTTGTTCATGTTCGTTCGTTTAACTTAACCGAACAAACGAACGAACACGAACGGTAAATGAACGAAAATCTTTATGTTTGTGTTCATTCGTTTAGAAATAAGGTGTGTTCGTGTTCGTTTATGTTCATTCGTAAACATGCTAAACGAACGTAAACAAACGAACATAAACGAACGGGCTAAACGAACATAAATAAATATTATTTGAATTCAAAGTAAATAAATAAAAGATAATATATTAAACTTAATATATAAACGAACATAAACGAACGTAAACGAACGGTAAATGAACGAATGAGACTCTTGTTCATGTTCGCTCGTTTAACTAAACGAACAAAAAAATAGTTCATGTTCGTTCGTTTATTAAATAAACAAATTTCCCGCCGAACGGTTCGCTGAACGTTCGGTTCGTTTACAGCCCCATCGGTACTATAAAAACTAAGTTTTTTGTAATTATTTTTAGATGTATATTATACTATATTAATTATATGGTGCCACCGTTTGAAAAAAAAATTAGACCCGTCCCTGATCTAGGGCTCGTTGTAGACACTGATACAACGTGTAAAGCAGGACGTTTCAAACCATTAACGCAAAAGAAAACAATTCCAAACTTGTTTATTGGAACTTAATTGTTTATTAATGCATCGCGATTTTCACAAAATCAAGCTTCAATTTTACCTTTTTTTGTCAATTTTCTTTCTTATTCTTGTTCCAAACATGATGCTAACCAAAACCGAGTCCTAAGAAGTTATTAGCACCTAAGGACTCAACCATTCGAGAAAATCGTTAACGTATCATCCTCCATTATTTAGAGCAACTCCAATCGAACGGCAAAACCCTAGTTTTACCGTTCTTTTGGATCCAACCGCATGGTGAAGACGGCAAAAGTTTGCCGGTGGTGAATTTTGAACGGCAAATTTGCCGTGGGAGACTTTGACAGCAAAAGGGTGGTCCCCACCACCATTTCATAAATAAATATTTTTTTTAATAAATTATAAATAAATAATTATAAATATTAATTTTTAGGTTTTACAAATATAATACCGGATAAACATAAACGTGGTTTTTTTTAATTTATGCTATTTGAACCAATGTAATCTTTTTTAATATAAAATTTATTAATTAAAATTTTATCTTTTTTCTTACATTTCTTCGTTATATAAATTAATTACTAATTATTTATTATTATAATATCTATTAGAAATTATAAATACTGTTATTAAAAATAGTAAATAAAATATGTTATGTCAATGTGGGGTCCACAAATTTGGTTTTTTTTTTTTTAAATGTGATTGGAGTTGAGGTTTTTTTAATGTTTATGGGCCCACCATATTTGGTGTTTTTGGTGTGTTTTTTGGTGATGAGATTGGAGTTGCTCTTAGGTGCCCCTGGTTTGAACCTTTTTTTTTTGGGTAGAGAGGACGGAACCTCACGAAAATTTTATTCATCTGGTCTGATTACAGTACCCCTTCTTTACGATTGGAATTTGCTTTCTGTTTTGTTCCTTTTCCTTTATCAATGCCAAGAATAAAAAAAAGGTATCCTCCTCATTTATTCGAAACGTCCAGTGATCTTCAATCAATTATGCACTTCAATTTGAAGATGAAGGCTTCTTTTTATTTGTGTTCAGATGGTTAAAATTTTATTAGCAACGTCTTTGTATATCCATTTAAATTCCGTGCAAATCTTGTTATATAAGTTGAACAAATTTTAGGTCTTTTGACACACAGACACAGACTCTTCATATAGACTCATTATGAAAAGTTGACAACCAAAGCTCTATAAGTACCCCCAAAAACCACACTAACGTTGCAGTTTGTATACTGGAGATTCAAATCATTGGAAGTGAAGACTGCTCGACTATCAGGTTTTTCCCTTTCATATTCTCAAGTAGTATGCAATTAATGTGTCATCTATCTCATCTCGTAATCGATTGTGCATTAAGTTATGATCCATTCTTTTTACTGTATGCGTCTTTTCAGTACTTCACAAATCCAACACCATGCTATTTCGTTCTATAAATTTTGAATTATATTATCGATCTTTGTGCTTTAAAAGTTTTAAAAAAAATCAGTTTATGGCTTTTAGATCCATTACTGTATTTAACATGGGATTATTCTGATCGTTATACTTTAGTTTCCAGGCAAGCAAACTACTGTAATTGTAAAGGACGAAATATACTGCATTTTGCATGGTTTTACACAAGTTGTTAAGTACTTTTGCCTTTATTGCATTTAAATTTATGCCCTTTTTTCCAAATTGCTCGTTTTTTGAAATTTCTTTCAACAGTTTTACGAGGATAAGTGATTGGTTTTGTAATAAAAAATCAATCAATAAATAATGCAACCCTATATGTTTCTTTACATGGTAAATTCCTGTTATACCTGTGGTTCAAATTGGGGAGAAAGGCAAGTCTTGATTAGTGATATAGATGCAGAAACCACAGAGCATCTCCAACAGCTATGTTAAAATAGAGATTTTGGAGATATTTTTGCTCCAACAGTTATGTTATACATATTCTAAAATAGAGAGAAAAAGAGAGAGAGGGGGTAGAAATCTCCAAATTTAAAGAAATCTCTAAAACTCCATATTTAAGAGAGAGAAATAATATTTAATTCTTTCTCACCAATAAGAGACATCAAAATTAAGTGTTTAGGAGAGAGAAAATAATATTTTAATAATATTGATAATAATATAATTGCTAAAATAGAGTAGCTGTTGTAGTTGGATTTAATTTTTTAGAGATTTTAACTTTTGATACTATATTTTAGAAAAATTATAGCATAGTTGTTGGAGATGCTTTCAAATCTGTGATCTACGTTTTGTGTTTCGGGACAAGTGTAATAATTATATCTGGCCTGGCTCTCAAAACTAACTCTTCTAATTACGAAAATACTCAGAAAGAACATTGTGCCTGAAATATAATTCTTTTCCATGACATCTTTAAAAGGATTAATGCATTTTATCGAACTTGCTGGAGAGTCAGCTAAGAGCATCCACAGTAGAGGTTCTTACAAGGATTTCTTTTTCTGTTTTATCCTGGCAATTAACGTTTGCTCAGCAAAATAGAAACCTTTATAAAAGTTATTACAAGAACCTCATGTTTCCACAATATAAATTCTTGTTCAAGCACGTGGGTTCTTATAAGAACCTAAGGCCACGGTAGATGTTCTTATTAGAACTTGCAGAAGAACCTCAAGAGAAATCTCTACTTTAGATGCTCCAAGACAAAAACAAAGTTTGACACTTGGTTTCAAAATAACCATTATAGTTGTAAATGGACCAGACCATTTAATCTGAACATAGAAAATGTTTGTGTCAAATGAAACCTAATTTGTATCTCTAAACTGACTTGTTTCCACAAATTACACTTGTAGAATACTTGTATAGTAATGGAGAGGATGAGTTCAATTCAGCAACTGAAGAAGATATATGAAGCCCTACAACATAACAACAAAGTAAATCTTTTTGGGTCTCAAGGAGTTGGGAAAACATGGATGGCAAAGAGGGTAAGTGACCATGGCATTAGGTATAAGTTATTTGATTGCACACTCTGGGTGTTTATCTGCAGAAACTATGACAGAAAATCTCTATCCGAAAGTATTGCTCGCCAACTATGCTTATTTCCGAATAATGAAGAGTGGGAGGTTGAGGATGACCTCAAAGAGCAAAGGATTAGTGATGAGGAGGAGAACTTAGAGTTTTTGATCGATGAGATTAGGAAAAAACTGAAGAGGAGGAAAATTCTTCTAATTCTAGATGATATTCCAGATGACGAAGAGGAATCAAAGGCAAATGAAGATAAGTTTTTGTTAGAATGGGAAGAAATGTTATTTGGTCATGCTGATGATATAAAGCTACAAACAGTTATAATCTCTAGATCAAGCAAGGATATTCAAGATTTGTTCACGGTTAAGGTGGAAGGATTGCCTAGAGCAGATTCTAGCTCTTTATTGATAGAAAAAATTGATGTTCAATTGAGACAGTCTCCAAGAATCCGATCTCTAGGTGAAAATTTCATCGAAAAAAGTAATCATTTTCCTGGTACAGTTTCAATGATAGCAAAAGTCTTGAACTACTTTGGTCTAAATGCTTTCGGAGTATCTATGCTAGAAAAGGAGTTGAAAGAAGCTTCTGAAGAGTACAGTGTGAACAAGTTATTGTGCAGGATGCACGATGTGTTGCCAATAGGTGTTTTAAAAGATTTATGGTGGGATGGTCACCATTTCTTTCGTGATTCTGGAAGTGTTCATTACAATGAGCTGATAACTTACTGGATCTTAGAAGGATATCTCGGTTTCAATAGTATGACAGAGTTGTACGAAAAGGGTCATCATGTTCTTATGGAGCTTATGGATTGTGGCTTACTTAAAGAGCAAGAAAGTGGTTATGTTTTCATGGACAAATCACTTTTAAACGTTGATGATCTGTACCAATGTCTTGACCAAATCCCTTATCTTGGGTTGGCGACGGTTTTCATGTCTGATACGGAAGGTTTTGGGACAATCACACATAATGATGGAATGCTAAAAACACCATGGACAAGTAAGACCGGGAAGAATCAAGGACGGAAACAATTGATAAAGGAAGTTGGTCAAAATCTTTCGACCTTACTGTTAGATGGAACCCATTTTAGCGAAAAAGACCTCATGGGCTTCCTTGAACCTGAAAAGGAACTTCAAGTTCTTGCTTTATTCAATCCCACCATCAATTCATTGGTTCAGCCATTGGCTATGATGGACACACTTCGTGTTCTTGTGCTTAGAGGATGTGTGTTTTTGGAAGACATCAATCTACCTCTGAAAGCTCTGTGTGTTCTTGAAATTTCTGGTGCTAGATCTTTCAATGATATGAAACCAGAAATCTTCGATAACATGCCAAAACTCCAAAGCCTTAATCTCTCTGAACTGCAAATCACTTCTTTACCCAACTCTATTTACGGTCTTGCTGAACTGAAGTGGCTAGTCATTAAGGATTGTCCTCACTTGAAAAGGGTCAGAAGTCTCGCAAAGCTTAAACATCTTCTGGTTCTTGACCTCTCTGGTAACGTCTCTTTGGATTATGTCGATAAAAATTTCTTGGAATTTAAGGATCTTCAGATCCTTAATCTTTCTAATACCATGGTTTTAACCACACCATTGCTCATAAATCTTAAAAAACTAACTCATTTGCTATTGCGTGATTGTAAAAACCTCGGTAGATTACGGAGCTTGACTTCAATAGAAAGTCTCCGAACTCTTGATCTCTCTGGTTCTACCAATTTTGAAGAGTTTCATGATCCTAGTTTAACTAATCTAATTTCACTTCAAACCATGGACCTATCAGGAACTACCGTTGATCGTTTACCTATTAACATAGCTTATCCGCGTTATCTCCATCTTAAGAATTGCCTTCGGTTACAACAACTTTCATGCATCAACCCCCTTGTACACCTTGAGGTACTTGATCTTTCGGGTTCAAAGAATCTCATTGCCATCGAGGATGATTTCTTTGACCGTATGAAATGTCTTCGTGTTCTTAATCTTTCACAAACTAATCTTAAAATCTTGCCATCCCTTTCCAATCTTTCCAATCTTCGTGAACTACTCCTATCTCGCTGTGCATCCTTGGTAGAGTTGCCATCTCTAGAATCTGCTACAAAATTGGAGGTTCTTGATGTCTCACATTGTGGTTCTTTAGAAGATATAGCAAATCCCTCTTTTGAAACAATGATTTCTCTTCAAAAGCTTGATCTTTCGGAAACAAAGATCAAGTACCTCCCTGCCCTTTCAAACCCTAGCAACCTCCGGCAGCTTGTACTGAAGAACTGCACCATTTTGCAGAATCTTGAATTGAATGTATCTTTATTGAATCTTGAAGTGCTAAATCTTGCTTGTATTACCTCTTTGGCACCTAACGGAGTTGAACCCGTGAAAGATATGATCAACCTTCAGTTTCTTGACCTTTCCGGCACCCCGATTGGACAGCTACCACCCATGTCGAACCTCAAGAACCTTGCCCATCTTTCTCTTGCTGGTTGTAGACGCTTAGAAGCAGTGCCGAATTTGGATCACCTTAGTAATCTTGAAGTTTTGGATCTGTCGGGATCATCGATCAAGCGTTTACCTAACTTTAGCAGTTTCAAAAACCTACGAAAGCTCCTGCTCAAAGATTGTGTTATGGTGGAAGATTTTCCAGATATGGAGATCAACAATCTACTAGCACCCGGTCTGAAACTACCTCACGAGATATCTTCATTAACTCATCTTGACTACCTTGAGTTTCCAAACATCTTGTCGAAAGAGATGAATCAAGATCAGTGGAACATTTGTCGGTTATCTGATGATCACAAACCACCGCTGTTTATTAGCGGCACCCAATTTCTTCATATTCTGAAGAAAAGTCCATCGCTACAAGGAACATTCCATCTATGTGCGGTTCCATTCATGGCAGAAGGTGAAACTGCGAATAACAATCTTCGTAGACATGAACTTGTCTTTGCAGATGTTCACCTCCGAACTCATGCGTTTATGGAAAACAGGTCATTGCAGATACGTGGATTCAACCAATTCCCAAAGGGTATCGAGAACATTATTGATCACATCAACTTGGTCTTTCTGATCGACAATAAGTTCAACAGTTCGTTTTCTGCTTTAAGCGTCTCCATTCTCAAGGATTTAAAGGATTGTTGGATCGAAAGATGTGATGAAATGGTCACTATTTTCGATCAAAATGAAACAAAAGACGATCCCGTATCAGGAATTGGGCTACAGAATCTGGGAGTTTCAAATAATCGTCGTTTAACGAGGATATGTAACGGGAAACAATCGATTGGGTGGTTCAACAATCTGAAGACTTTGTATTTAGACGGATGTCCACAGCTTTCAACTGTGTTTTCGTCATCATGGCTGCCAAAGAACCTCAAAGTTCTTGAAATCAAACACTGTGACAAGATAGCGTCTCTATCCGAAGCTGACAGTAAACTCGAACTTCCATATTTAGAAACTTTGCATCTACGGGAACTACCAGAACTGAAAACCATCGGCATCTCATTTCCGTCTTTACAAACCCTCAAAATTTGCGAATGTCCAAAAGTAAAACAAATCGAGAACTTTGAATTTGCGAAAGATTTGAGGACGTTATGGATCTCGGGTGCAACTAGTTTGAAGAGCTTGTATAGCGAAAATGTTAACGGTTCATGTTTTCCGTTAAGGAACATTAAGATCATCAAGATCAGGTCCTGTGAGAAGTTGCAGACTCTATTTTCTCACAGCATCTCGGTTGACAGCAAATTACGGTGGTTAAACACACTGCATCTAGAGGATCTCCCGATGCTGAAAAGCATAGGCATCAGTTTGCCACCGCTACAAGAGAAACGTATTTTAGGATGCCCGAATTTGCAATTTGATGGGACGATCGGTGATCAAAACTAACTCGACTGTTTCATTAAGTTTGTCGCTAAAGAACTCGGTTTTTTGAACATTTTTGGCGTTGTCACATGTAAACAGTCTGGTATCTTTATGAAAACAGTCGTTCTATCCTTTACTACAGATCTATGCATATCTCATGATGACTTTGTATTTTAGGTAGTTAAACTTGTACCTTGTGTTGCAACAAATTTGTGTACCTCATGCAATGAAAATTGTATGTTGGTCATTTTGCTAGTTTTTTATAGTTTCTCCACAACATACTGCTCATCATAAAAATCCTTTTGTGGTCACGGAGGTTCAAATGCGGTGACTACAGGCTATCTGAAAAGCAGGTGGTCGCCCTAGGATTAGTCGGCTCGTATAGTGGGTTGGATATCCAGGTTAATAAAAAAACTGCTAATCATATAGAAACTGTCAAAAAGGTATAAACTGTAAAAATCAATTTCAAATATATTTTTTTTATAAATGAGACAACATATGTAAAGCGAGACCTGTGAAAATCAATCAAAACCATCTAATGAGTTTGATTTCAAGATATGATTCATATTGTTTCACGAGATTTTTTTTTGTGTTTGTGATTAGGGGTGCTCATGGGTTGGGTTGATCGTGTTGTAGGTATTTCAACAACTCAACTCAATGTTTATAGTTTGGAAAATCTCAACTCACCCAACCCAAACCACAGTGCAACACAACCCCCAACTCATACCGTATGGGCTGTTTGGGTTAGTCGGGTTAATACTTTGATACATCAAAATATTCTTGTTACCTTGAATATGTTGTTCTATACTCAAAAAAATCTTTTTTCGTCATCAATCATTTGGTATAATTACTTATCGATACTTCTTATAAGAATATCATATTCAACTATTTTTCTTAATTTGCATGTATATGTTCACATTTACTGAACACATATACGAAGGAGTTATATATGGATCGAGAAGAGATTGAAAATATATGTATATGAAGAGGGTACGTGATGGTATAATTGACTAGTGTACGTGTTAACAGATACTTAACGATCTTATTAAAAATCCAAATGATCATAATCCCTTTCCAACACACTACCTATAGTTTGAAGAATTTTCAACTCGATTAGACATCGGATTACTTTCGGTTGGCTCCCCTACCTGTGATTATGAATCTTTTTTTTATAAACGTTTTTTCACATGTAAAACATTCATCGACATTTTATCGATGGAACATTTTTTCTGATATTTTTAAATGGCTTTTATATAAGTTGCCCCCAACAACATGCCAATTATATGGACTAAAAACATAAAATTGGCCCTCTAAAATCTAATCCTGTGTGGCTTTTTGTAGCCCATCAATTTGTTGACCAACCCAATTCAACAATGACCTATTTCAATATTATTCTATTATAAAATATTTAACTCATTTTATAAAATCTGTTAAAATTTAAATTTATCAACTTATTATTGTATGGATACCACTTTTCAAACACTCATGTTTGAACTCTATAAAAATAACTGATATATATATATATATATATATATATATATATATATATATATATATATATATATATATATATATATAGAGAGAGAGAGAGAGAGAGAGAGAGGGAAGATCAAATGTTAACCAACAATTTTGTGTTAACTTTGCAAACCATATCAACCAATCAAATTTCATTCTTCTAGTAGGTTTACGTCATATTCACAAGTTAATTACAAGGGTATTTCAGTAAATTGATTTGATATGTAACTCCCAAACAATTAATGGGGAGTTACAAATCATCAAATCAATTTACATATGCATTTATAATATTAATATATATATATATATATATAATATATTTTTTAATCTTGATTTTCCATGTTCATTGTTTTATGAGTTTTTAATTCGCATAGGAAACACTGTAGTAAAATTTTCGGTATCGATCAAACTAATATGGATAAATGTAATGGAAAAGAAATCGACAACAGTGAGAAGATTAAAATGGTTGATGATGACAATTGTAGTTCGAGTTCGGGAAGTGAAGAAATTAACCAAAGCGAATGTCTTGGTAATAGATTAATATTTTTATTAGAAAAACGAATTATGTTCATTACGATGTGTTGTGTTTTTTATATTTCATCTTGTATTGATAGTTTTTTCTTTAATTGCACCACGTGTTCATAGCATATATGTTATGTGTTCATACTATTTCTATGATAATCTCTCACTATATGGCTTGTTCATGTTCATCACTCGTTCATACTGTGTTCATATTTCTACGGTACTATTGTTCATGTTCATCACTCGTTCATAATGTGTTCATATTTCTACGATATTTCTACAGTATTATTGAACAAGAGGTGAACAACCATATAAGATCATAAACATATATGAACAAGGGCTTAACCTTAAACGGTGTGGATGCAATGTATGTATAAAACTTCAATTGACAAAGTATCGCTCTTGAATGTGTTTATAATGAAGAAACTATTGTTCACAAGCTGTTCATATCGTGTTCATACCTGTTTTTTTATTTATTTCCTTTCGTATAGCAGTTATTCTTATTATGTTCATATTGTGTGCATAAATGCTATGCAGTCCAAGTTCATATATATGTCAAATTTTTGTTCGTATTTGACACAATGATTCATATATATRTAGTTGTGTTCATATGGTTCTTACATTAACAAAAAAATCATAGAATTTTTTATTTTGTAACTCCCAATTAATTAATGATATGGGAGTTACATACATTTTTTTTACCTAAATACCTTTTTCAACATTGTTCACTTATCTTTATGCAATTTTAAATTTAAAAAAATAAGTTTTTATCATGATTAATCACAACCGTTTATTGAAAGATTGAATGGCCAAGATCGGTTAACAAAGTTAACACAAAAACTTTGGTTAACATTTGATCTTACCCCGATATAGATATGTATATATATATATATATATATATATGTATATATATATATATATGTGTGGGGGGGGGGGTGGTGGGGATGTTTAAACAAGAACACCTTCATTTTACGAGAACGCGAGAACACCCTTAACACATATGATAATACATGCAAGGGGACCATGTGATATGCGGACGACGTGTTCTACGATTTAGGTCGTGCTAAAGATTGTCTGCGTCCATGATTTAGCATCACATGTGATAGTCTTGTTAGATTATAATATCATATCAACAATACATTTATCACATGTGATAATATTTGTGAGGGGCTTAGTGGTGTAAGGGCGACTTGGCCTGCAACCAAGATCGCATGGAAAATCTCCCGCATCTTTGATTTAGTATCGTATGTGACAGAATAATAGTACCACATGTGATTGTCTATAGTAAAAGGGTGTTCTTGTAAAATGAAGGTGATATCCTTTGAACCATTTCATACACACACACACACACACACACACACACATATATATATATATATATATATATATATATTCAAATACATGATAAAAGTGTTGAATCCTACTAATACAAATTATACAATGATATTTTATTACATTGATAGCCACATAATCATAAAAATAATACAAAGAAGGATGAAGAATAGAATGAAACACGATTGACTGTTTGAGTTCTTGACTTCGGAATCAAACTGTATCACACAGATACATAACCAGTAATTCAATAAACATATTTGGTTACTGATTAAATGTTCGAAACATTGTATAATAAGAAATTGGTGAACTAAAATCAAAATCATCGATATAACAAAAGGGTATTCACCACACTGAAGATTGTTCCCACCATAGCGGTCATGCAGTCATCATAAGGGAGAAAAACTTGTCATGATAAAGGTGTCTAGGTTCAAAATAAAATTCTGAACTAAAAACTTGTTTAAAAATTTATATGGTTTTCTTTTTGTTTCATTCAGCCTTACAAAATGAAGCATAACTCATTACGTTGTTCAGTGGTTACATATAACCAGTATAAATGTCAATTAATTAACAACGAAAGGCAACCGATGACACGTATTTGTTCATAACCAAAGCTTCAAGATGATATATGTAAGCAGTAGTATTTCGCCTTTAAACGGTAATTAATTAATTGGGCAGGGATTTTAATGTTTCATGAAGGGTTATAGCTTGAAAATCCTTCATTCTACATACTTAGTTATTGCAAAAAGTTCTATTATAAATTTAACGAATTTTTCATCGGTGATATTAGAATATATTATGAAGATCGATTTTCTGTTCACATGATAAAGAATAATTTAAACCATAAGGGTGGTGTCTGATTGGTTTAAGCTTGGCTTCAAAGGTCAAAAGTATCAGGAGGTCTCGTGTTAAAATCCAAGAAGAAATAAAAATCCTCATGTTGCCACGGAGGTTCAAATGCGGTAACTCCGGGCTATCTGCAAAACAGGTGCTTGCCCTATGATTAGTTGGCTCGCATAGTGGATTGAATATTCAGGTTAAACAAAAAAAATTAGATATATAACCAGAAATGAAAGGCTTTTATTAAATTACAGATCACAAAACCAATAAGTATTTATTAGTTAAAAACATCTCCAACAAATTCTCCAAAAAGGAAAATGTAGATTTTCTTGATTTTAGGCACGTTTTTTTTACTCTAACAAATTCTCTAAAAACCTTTTCTTTAAAATGGAGAAAATACGAGAGTGAAAAATTTCAAATTCAGAAAATTCCCCAAAAATAATGACACGAGAGAAAGAGAAAATATATTTTTATGATATTCCTACCAATAAAAAACCTTGAAATAAAACATTTACGAGAGAAAATTAATATTTTATGAAATATATTGAATATTTTAATATTAATAGAATGTAATATTTCTTTGGATTTTTATATTTTCATATTAAATAAAATTTAAAAAATCTATTGAAGATATTCTAATTAATGTTCCATATGAGGAAATACTTTACCAATAGAGTATAATACGATTTCAACAACCATGCAATCTTTAAATTTTTTTTTTTATTAACCTGTATATCCAACCTGATATGCGAGCCGAACTAATCTTATGGCGACCACTTGTTTTGCAGATAGTCCGGAGTCACCGCATTTGAACATCCGTGGCCACAAGAGGATTTTTTGTTCCACCTTGGAATTGAACCTTGGACCTCCAGGTACTTTTGATCTTTGGAGTTAAGCTCAAACCAATCAGACACCACCCTTCTGATTTGCAACCTTTAATTTTTGCTTCAACTATTATAATAAACTCTTTTTTAAAATAATAGAAAAAATAACATATAAATCTCCAAATTTTATAAATAAATAAAAAGTATAACATACCCACCAGATATGTTTTTGAAAATTTATTTTTATTAAATTATATGTAAAATATAAACGAGAAATTAGCTCAAAACAGTCATTCTCTTCATTTAAATTGGCTTTCCAACCATTTTTTCTAAGACCTAATTAAAAGACAAAGAAAATATCAAATTCAACCAGTTTATCGTCGCAATTACAGAACTGGTTGTCATAATTGCATATTTTTGTTGCATTTTTAGTCTTTACCTCATATGTAATATTACAAATCTGGATGTTACGAAAGTAATGGCATTTAAATCAACCCAAAAAAGATGATAAAAAACCAATTTAAATAAACCAAAATTATCATTTAATTCAATTACTCAATATAAAATATAGAAGCAAATCGTATATTTGGAATATTTGTGGTCAAAAATGGAAAAATAAAAAATAAAAAATAAAATGCATTAATTAGAGATGGATGATGTTGAGTTGACGAGCACCTGTCGGTTGGGCCCAAATAAGCGGCTTCCTGCGAAACCACCAAAATTTTGCACAACTCGTACGGAAAGATACGGAAATCTGTACCCTCCACTCCTTAATTATTACTATTATTTTAAATATTAAATAATAATTTAATAAATAAACTAATAATTAACTCTCCGAGACAAAAACATTATATATTTAGTCCCTTTTCAGTAGATTTTATAAAATATAAAAAAACCAATTTTTTTCTCTGTATAATATTATAACAGCTTTTTTTAGGGGTTGTCTAACAGTTGCTGAATGATTAAGTGATCTGAATGATTAAGATTCTCTCATGATATATAGTGCAAAATAAAATATAATTGTTTGGTAATTGTGTACAATGAAATTAGGGCTCTTAATGGTTAAGGGAGATCTATGATACAAAATCATTCAGAAGGTTTTAGAATCATTACGGGACATACTTTTTTTTGCCAAACAAGATTCACCTCTGAATCGTTAAGAGGTGGATATTGTTTGACAAAAAAAAGTTTGTCTCTTAATGGTTCTAAAACCCTCTGAATGATTTTGTATCGTGGGCCTCCCTTAACCATTCAGCACCATAATTTCATTGTAAACAATTACCAAACAATTATATTTTATTTTGCACTATATCATAAGAGTTTTTTAATCATTCTGACGACTTAATCATTCTGAAACAAACCATTCAGCAACTGTCAAACAGCCCCTAAAACTACTTTTAATATTTATTTGTTAAAAATCACAACTTACTTTTTAAGATAATTATTATTAAATATGAAAAATAAATAAGGCTTTTAAGTTTCAACTCTTATATTTTTGTAGATTAACTATTTCGTTTGTAAAATTCATAACGATCATCAAGTTCATGATTTCTTACATTTTAGTCGTCCCAGTTTTCATTTTATCGTTAACAAATATCATTTTTTGCCAACTTTAAATAAAAAAACATTCAAAAGTATTTTCACAGTGTCACTTAAATCAATAATCTCGGCTTGATAATTATGTTCATACAGTCAAATTAACTGACTGAAATGTCAAGCCAAACGAATCAAAAGGATTTGATTCGACTAATAGATATGGTTTTGTTCGATCGAGATAGCCCGTTTACCACTAAAACCACAGACCTAATCCAGTAACTCGATTACCGTTCGGTTTTATATTATATAACAAATTCATTCTTTTAAAAGCCCAAATTTTTATTCCAGGTTAAAACCGACAGAATGCAAATTCATTCTTATTTTTATTCCCCGTCATTTTTCATTTAATAGTCTTAACCAAACAACCTATAAATGGATGTTTTTATCATTTTCACACTCATACATGTCATTGTCACCTTCCCTTTTTTCTACATTTTAACGTACAAATTAGGAGGTGTGTTGGTTGATTTTTATCAAGGTGTAGTTTACCAAACGCTTATTCGGGTAAGCGCTTACCAAGTCACTTTACTTTACCAGATGAATATGACAAAGACTCAGAATCTTACCCGGTAAGAGCAAATACAATAATCGAGAGTCTTACCCGGTAAGTGAAAATAAAAACTCTTACCATGGTTAGCGTTTTACTGGGATAAATTGTTGCACACGATGCATTTTAGTGAATAAAATCTTACCCGATAAGTAAACGATGGTGTTGAATTCTACCGGTAAATGCTTATCAGGTAAATGTTTAGATGAACGACCCTTAAATCTTATATAGATAAAGTTGTCGATACAGTAACTTGACAACACGGTGTTTAAATTTGATGGGTTTTATTTGATTTTGATGGAAGAGTCGAAAGAAATTTATTATAAGTGGGGTAAAGGGGTAGGAAGTTGCTGGTGGCGGCAGTAGTGATAGCAGCACACGGGATGGGCAGCTAATTGCAAGCTGGAAGATATGAAAACGAAACGACCACGTATCCATTGCATAAATATTTATAAAAATGAAATTAAATTTTGTTTTTTTTAAGGTTTTCTGATTCGTCACAATTAACAAAATCGTATTTAAAATATTAAAATTAAAATAGTAAGTAGATATATTCAATATTTTTTTCTAATCAGAATAAAGTTTTTAAAAAAATATTTAAAAATTGTAAAATATAATTATAAAATAATAAATGGAAATAAACACAAACGTAATAATTTAAATAAAACATTTTAAAAATAAATAAATATTCATATATAAACAGATGTTCATATATTAATATACAAAGAACAAGAAAATAAACATATATTTTTTAAAGTATATAATGTTTATATACATCAAATATAACAAAAAAACTCGCACATCGTCCTCACATTTAGTAAATGACTCACATACCGCTAGGTCAAAGGCCTTTTGGTTGAACATATTATCTTGTCGACATTAATTTATAGAGTTTTCCTTTAAAAGTACAATATCCGTAAATGCAAGATTTACAAATGGATCGAATTTCCAAAAGACCACGCGTGTGCGTGTGTGTTCCGACTTTAAAAACAGTTGGATTTTTGAATGAGGATTAATGGGAATTCAGTTTTTTAAAGTCAAAACCAATATCTTTTTAGTTATATTGTATTATATAATAGACAACCATAACATACCGAACAAAAAATGGTCAAGCTTAATAACTTTTACATAGTTTAAAACTGTGTCATTTTCTGTACAGCTTCGATACTTTTTTATATACCAAAGTTTAAAGTTCTGTTGAATTTTAATGAATGATATTATGTACAGTTTTTTCATCTGTTCTCGTCCTATTTTAGTTTAAGCCAAAGGTCACGAATTGATATATTTTATCTAATTTACATTAAATCAGATTGTCCAAAATATGAGGAGAATAACAGATGGATCAATATATGAGGTCTGGTAGCAAGCATTCCAAAAAAAAACAGTAGATATATTTTTACATATAAAAAATTACAAATTATATCGTGTTAATTCATAATTTATATCATATGATCCTTACTGGATATTTAAAAAAATATAAGTTTGTAAAAAGTCAACCTATTTGTGATTGACCATCTACAAAAGTCATAAACTATGATATTGATATATATATATATATATATATATATATATATATATA